AGATGAGTTTCCCCATACATGGTGAGACTCTCTAGATGTTCCTGCTTGCAAAATGACACTGTTCCGATTACAATACCCAGAACATTATGGGACCAAGAAGATCCATAATTAATCAAAAAGGTCAGCCAAATAATCCCTATGGGAAAAATAGCTCCCAATTGTCTTTCAAATAAAATTCAAACCTCTTTGCTTGGCATTCAGGGTTCACCATTGGGTACCACCCTAACTTTCCAGATTATCACACCTAATATCTATGCCCCTCCACAGCAAAAACAGGATTAATTTCATTCCCCTCCGCCTACCCTATGCACATTCGTGCTTACCCACTATCATGTTTTTATTTCCCTTTGTTGTTCTCTGTATCTGGAACACCTCCCTCTCCCATTCTCTGCTTATTGAAATTCTTCACATTCTTTTAAGGCCCAGCTCAAATGCCATTTTCCATGAAGCTTTCCTGATTCCCTCAGTGAGTAAAGATCCTCCTTGTTCCCCTGAAATCAATAACATTTGACTTATGTATCATATAGTTTGTATTTTAGTTATGCATGTATTATGTCTCTTAACTAGATATTGAGCTCCATGAGGACAGGGAACATGTTTTACTTTATCTTTGTATGTCCCACACTGCCTACCCTGACACTCTGCAAGCTAATAAACATACAAATACTTGTTGAAGTTAAAGGAGTGAGTTACCATTAGATTCCTTTAAATAGGAACACTAAAAATCTAAGGGTTTATCTGAGGGAAGCAGAACAGCAAGTGGTAGTGGAAAGCTTGATCCAGATCACACACATTGAGGGTCCCATAGGGATCTCTGTCCTGGGCCTCTTCTTCCTCTATACTATTTGACTTGGTGAAAATAAATCAGTTTCCATAGATTCAGTTATCACTTCTATGCTGATGATTCTCAAATTTACTTACTCAGTTCTAACCTCTTAAACCTTCAGTCTCACATCTCCAAATGCCTATTAGACTTGTTTTGTGGACATCATTAACTCAACATATCTGAACTCATTACCTTTTCCCCTAAACCCTTCCCTCTTCCAAAGTTCCCTGTGACCGTCAAGGGCACCAACATCCTCAATCACTGAGGCCAGCGGCCTAGGTGTCGTCTTCAACCCCTCATTCTCTCTCATCCCCCCATACCCAACCTGTTGCCAAGGCCTATTGATTTTACTTTTGTAATATCTCTAGTACACATTCCTTTTATAACCCTACCTTTCCAGTTTTTTTATACCTTACACCAAGGTGGGGTCTTACAGCCTCAAGGCCATATATGGCCCTCTAGGTCCTCAAGTACAGCCCTTTGACTGAATCCAAACTTCACAGAACAAATCCCCTTAATAAAAGAATTTGTTCTGTAAAACTTGGACTCAGTCAAAAGGCCTCACCCAAGGACCTAGAAGGTCACATGTGGCCTGCAGGCCACAGATTCCCCAGCCCTTCCTTACACCCCCCACAAATTGTTTGATCTATTAACATTGACCTCTTTACTATTCTTCGAACAAGATACTCTATTTTGAGATGCCAGGCATTTTCACTGGCTGTTTCCCATGCCTAGAATGTTCTCCCTCCTCAACTCTACCTTTTGGTTTCCCTGGCCTCCTTCATGTCTCAGCTAAAATTCCACTTTCTATAGGAAGCCTTTCTCAATCCCTCAATTCTAGTTGCTTCCCTCTGTCAACTACTTCCAACCTATCCAGTTATAAACAGCTTGTTCATTTATACTTGTCTGCATGTTGCCTCCCCCATTAGACTGTAAAGTCAAGAGCAGAAACTTACCTTTCTATGTATCGTCAGTATATTGGTGCATAGTAAATGGTTAATAAATGTTACTGACTGCCACAACAAATATCTTGACACGGGGAAAAAACAATCCTTTTAAGATACACACTGTGAAATTTGAGAAACGCTGGAAACTATCTAATCACAATGATTGTTTTCCTTACAATGTATTTTCTATAGCAATAGGTAATTTAAGTTAGAACCCAACTTAGATGTTAGGTCCTCCAAGAAACCTTCACTTGAAACAACTTATCCTTCTCAAACTTCTTCCCTCATCCCATGTATCACTGAACTTTGCTGAGCTCTTTTCACTTACTGCATTCTCCCCTGAAATGATCATTTTGTGTGACCTTCCCCACATTGTATTCATTAGACTCCCTGAGATCTTTGTATTCCCACTGCCAAGTATGAGACCTTTCACATAGTACATGTTCTATGGTTTTTGAACTGTATTTAAGTATAGAATCTCAGATTCAGAAGATGACTTTGGACATTCAGAGCCCTTCATTTTACGGGTGAAAGAATTGAGAACCAGAGAGGTAATACAACAGAGGTCAAGTCCCACAGTGACAAAGCTAAAATCAGAACCCAGGCCAGTGGTGCTTTCAGGCTGTATTTTATTTTCAGTCAAGTATCTTGGATGTCCTCGACAATAGTGGACCCAAAACAATAGGGAAATATTTACCTATACGTGTTGGTAAGGGGAAGAATGATTGCAAATTGAGATTTAATCTCAGTATTAGTACTTGGAGATTAAAATATATGTTTTTTAGATGCCCAGGATAGTTTTAAACAAAAGGCATTCTCATAGATTTTTTATTGCTATTTCCCAGGCATCAACCATTCCTGCTCCAGAGTGTATAACTTTGAAGGGCTGTTCATTCAGCACTCTTCCCAAACAGTTCTCTCCTGAACAAGGTGTTCAGATTGCTACTTGTAATTCACAAAATGTTAATAGTCAGACAATAAGTATTTATTAATGCTAAGTGTCTATCAAAGCCAATGTCACTGGATTAAAGAATATGTGGAAGGGCAAAGGATGTAAAGTGTAAGAATACTGAAATGGTAGGAGAAAGCAAGTTTTGAAGGGCTTTGAATGTCAGGATTTTATATTTGTTCCTGGAAACAATAGGAAGTCACTGCAGTTTGGGGGGAGAGGGAGTAGCACCAGAGGATATGGGTGTGTGTGTGTGTGTGTGTGAGAGAGAGAGAGAGAGAGAGAGAGAGAGAGAGAGAGAGAGAGAGAGAGAGATGTGGTTAGACCTTGATTTAGAAAAATCACTTTAGCAGACAAATGAGATGAGTCAGGTAAACCCATCAGCAGGCTATTACAATAGTCCAGGTGTGAGGTGATGCACCTGCATGGGAATGGTGGCAGAGTCAGAGGAGAAAAGGGGTAATTTCTGAGACATTGCAAAGGTGAAATTGACAGGCCTTGGCTATAGATATGGCAGGAATAGGGTGTGAGAGATAACGGTAATGCGGCCTCTGATTTCATTGGTATAGAAAATTATGTCTACCGATGCAGGTTGACACCTTCTCTGCTACTAATATTCTTAGAAAGTTGCCTAGACTACTGAGAAGTTAAGTGATTTGCTCAGGGTTACAGAACCAGTATGTTATCAGAGGTGGGACTACAACCTAGATCTTCTTGGCTTCAAGGCCAGATCTCTATCCTGAGCTGTGCTCTATCTCATTCACCTCAGAAGGGGAATTTAAGAAATACTCCTACATTTCACAGAAATTTATATGTCTTACCTATGCCTACACACATTCTCCTACTGATGAGGCAGGGAGATTCACTCAAACAACTGCATCTATTTCTCTTTGCTTTATTGTAATGCTCATTTAAAGGATGACATGGCAGTTTAAGTCCAATATCATTTTTATAGAACAGAATAACCAGTCATTTAAATTTCCAAATCCCTAAAACACCACAAAAACAGGCCAAGAAAATTAAAGCTACAGTCTCCCCTTCTCTTGGATAGCATGTTATAAAATTATCTGCAACTACAGAGAGAAGGAACTGTTTTCTTTAATATACAATGAAGGTCACATTTGACCATTCTATTACAGCATTCTGGAAACTGGTTTTGGAATCCACTTTTTGATTAGTACTAGGAATTCCTTCAAACTTTCCCCTAGAGGAACAATACAACTTTGAAAGTGAGGTGTTTATTACTCTAATCTCAAAAAGGGAGACTGCACCTTAAAATTTTACTTCCTGGATTAGATAAGAAGAAAGGCAAATTCATTCACACTTATTAAGATATTGCACAATTATTACAATCATAACATAAATTCTTCACCTACCAGAGGAATGTCACAAAGTCTGGACTGGAAAAAAAGGTAACAGTGTTATCCTTGACACCAAAAGATGGGGGAAAATAAAAACCAAAAAAACAACTTTGAAAAATTCAAGAGCTAATACAAAAACAACAGCAACAAAAAGCTAAAGCCAATTTTAAAAGGCTAGGCTCTTCTACAGTATTCTGGTTTGGGAACACTGGAAGACAAATGTGCCACACCTGGTGGCTCAATTACTTGAACTTCTCCAGAGTTTGTTCTTTCTCCAAGATGCCACCAGAAAGCTGCTACCTATGACTTCAAAGTACACAGGTTAGTCCCTACATACTAGCATTCACGTAATGTAAAAAAAATTTTTTTTGGGGGGGGGGGCCTAGTCAATGGTGTTAAGTGACTTGCCCAGGGTCACATGGCTAGTAAGTGTTATGTGTCTGAGGCCGGATTTGAACTCAGGTCCTCCTGAATCCAAGGCCAGTGCTCTATCCACTGCACCACCTAGCTGCCCCATAATGTAAAATTCTTCTTGACTTCCTTTTAACTGTAATTTGTCATCTTAGCTTAATACAGCAATTACGGTTTTGTAGAAAACAGATGCCAAACAAGTAGGAAGTGTCTCCATATCACGACTGGATTGGTATCAAGATGGCCCATGAACTCCTCATAACCACCTAATCCAAAGAGCAAGAGATACTAATCAGAGCAAATGATTCCCCTAAAGAATGTGACATCCCTACTAGGCACTGGAATAGAATTATGACCTACTTCACCCAGGTCATAAAAAGATTTCCAAAGGCAAAGGCTTCTCAATATCCATCAAGAGGCTTTATTCTTCTCCCAAACTATTACTCTATTTGGAGAGAAGAATTTGAGTTTCACCCTGTTTTAAAAACACACACAAATTCCTAAACTGAAAGTTGACTTGTTTTTATTACTGGCCTACTCATACACTCCTTTGAAATGCTATTTGAACAAACACTTATAGCAATACTTGGTGACTGCCAACCATACCTCCTGGAGCATTCAGCCTCAGGAATATTTTTCTTCTAGAAAAACTTCACTTTCATCAAGTTGTGCTTCACTGAGGTATGGGCTAAAAATATTCCACTTCATGAATTGATTTAGACTTACATAAATCCTAGAAATATGAAATAGTTACTGATGGGCCTAAATATTAACATAAGCACAAAAGGATAAAGAAATGGAATGTTAAAACAAAAAGAACATGCAAAAGATTTTTGCTCATCTAAAAGTCTATCTTGATATGGGAAGGTGATCGATAAAATTCAATAATAAGAAAGCACACAGAAAGTCAAAATGTCCATGGATCATTTGAGGTGATGGATAATTTCAACAACAATTAGATGACCCAATCCACTGAGTGACTTCTGTTCACATGAATACTGCTACCATCATACAATATATATATACTGCTAGTCAAGAAAGGGGGGGAAAACACTTCATATTTAAGTCAGACAACAAGGCTTTCAGGTTACATGCACTACTGTTTCAAAAATCTGCAGATGACAAGTGATAAAGAGGTAAAAGTTGATGCAAAAAGATTAACGGACAATCAATCAAATTATTTCATGTTAACATGCACTTAAACTGCGGAGTCTTCCAAACAAAATGACAGGATGGATGAAAAAAGGCTAGGCATTCCTAAAAGAGCAAAGAATCTTGGCCATCATGACAGAAATTCCTATCATCAAAATACAGATCTGTTTTGTTAAGATCTATTTTGTTCCTTGTCTAAAAGAGGTCTCCATGTAGAAGACTACAGAGGTGGTGGAAAGAAGGTTTCAGTTAAACTAGTACATTTAAACCAAACAAAACTCCCATATGGACAAGTAAAAATAGCTCACTAGAAGATTCAGTAACTGTAGACATAGAGAAGACACTTAAAAAAGGAAAGATAGCAGAATAAAAAAAAATAAAAAAATCAAAATCAAAACATCAAAGAGTTAAATGTTAATTTGAAACAGGAGAAAATGGTGCAGTGACAGCAATGGCATCAACTTCAAATATACAAAGTATGATTTTTCCATCTTCAAAACCTGACACTGCCTAGGTAACCAAGATCTAGTACAATTATGATTTGAAAGGAATGCCCTTCCCACCTCCACCCCCCAAAAAAGGAATCCTTCCTTGTGGTTTTTGACCAAATTTTTCAATACCAAAGAGTTAACATGAACAAGCTTGCGTAGATAATAAATATCACTCCTCTTGGGAGTGTAAAAGTTCTATGAAAGTCAGTCAAAGGTTTAAAAGGGTGTCACATTTTCTGAGGAGGATTTTCATCCATGGCACCATGATTGGAGGTTTACATGAGTTCCAAAACTGATTTTAAAAAAGCTATATTAACACTTAAACAGCAAAGAAAATTTGTAGGATGCCTAGAGAAAAGCACAGTCACATATTTAGAATAGTAAAAATCTGCTTCTCTGGTACATTTCCCTATAAAATTATTCTTTTGGGCAATTTTGTTATAATCACAGTCAGAATTAAAATTTAATGCTCACTACACTGATGAATGAACTACAGCACTAGCATGAAAGAATAAAAACAGAATCACTTTCTTAGGTATAACCCAGAGCAAGCAGGCAGGAAGCAAAAGAAAGCAGAGGTTATTCTAATGACTAGCTTTACAACAAATAAAGTAAAACTAGCTTTGGAGAGCCAGAATGGAGATTAAAAATAACATTTATATTTGAATCCAAAGTGGTTTGCCATTTTATTTAATGGTTTCTTATTTTTACTCCTTTCATTTTGATACTGTCCCACTTGCATTCCTTTATGGTATTAACAACGATTTAAAGTTCAAATCCAGGGATGTGACAGTGGTAAAGAGACCTCAAAACAGCTACTGTGAGAAATGCTAAGGAAAAAGTTACTAATTAGAGTGTTCATGTTAGCAAGTTAGAGTAGAAAGGTAAAAAGGAATGGCAGAAGAGTATTCTTTTGTAATAATGTTTTAAGTTAAGTTTTGCATTATAAATATTATCAACCTGAGGGATTTGAACAATGGGCATACGGATCTGAAATTGTTAAGAGACAGAGAAAAGGCAACAGTGACTATGTGGACATCCAAATAGGGGCAGGATGGCCAAAGGTCAGTGTTGTCATGATATTGCTTTCTATATTTTTCAGTTTTCCAACTCTAGGAATTCTTTCTAGAGAACAATGAAAAAAATAAATCAAAACCCTTTAAACTTAAAAGGCATTTCAATTTAAAAAGACATTTCATACAAGATCAAAAACATGTCACATAATTTCATTCAGTCCCAACAATTCAGGAAGATGTTTTATTTAGTGTCATTCCAATGAATGTCTTTCATTCTTCATTCAAAGAACTGTAGTTCTTTCTCTTGCACCGTGATGACATCATCCTGTCCTGGACTCTCTCTAACACATCATTAGAATGATGGCTGCACAAGAAATTCTAGAAAAATTGCACATGCAGTACAGGCCCACAAGAAAGTGCTTGCACTTTTGAACTGGATGTTTCTGGGGCAGGACACCTGAAGAAAGTCATCTGGCTTCAAAACAGTGGCTCAGGAGAGCTCAGGTGCCTGCAAAGAGCTGTGATGACTGGAGAGCAATGGCCGTGCTGAATCACCTAAGGAATCTCACTTTGCTTCGTGGGTTATTTTGTCTCAGGTAAAACAGACATTGGGAAAAATGAAGACTAAGCACAAGATGACCTCTAACCATCGGGGGATTTCTCTCCACCAGCAGCCAGGGCTGTGTCTACCAGTTCTGGTTGTCCCACCCTTCGTCGGAGGATGCTGCTGCTTTGGCTGCCTTCTTCGGGGCCTTAGTAGTTTTGCCCTCCCCTCCAGCACTTTCCCAGTTGGTTTCCCAGTTCTCCCAGCTGTCGCTGTTATTACTGTTTTTGTTGTTGGAGACTGTTCCTGAGCCCCAGATATCCCAGCTATCTGAGCTCTTCTTCTCTGTGGAATTGTCTGCATATGTCCAGCTGTCACTGCTAGGTGATTTATGGGTCTTGGGAAGATCTGAGTTTCCAAAAGTTTCCCAGAAATGCTGATCTATAGCACTGTTCTGGTAGTGTCCTCCTCCACTGTTCTGGTAACTACCACCCTCAGGTGGTCTTTTAAAGAGAAAGAAGGAGGAAAAAAAACTTAAATACCATTCTTTGAAAATTAGCAATTTAAACACATCAGCATTTCACATAACTTTTAGGTCTTACCTAATTATTATGACCTTCAAAGAAAATACTTTCACTAAAAGATGGCACATTAAACGAATGGTTGGGAAAAAGAATGCTCTAGTTGATTGAAAATTATTATGTATGCCATATGGTGATCAGCAATTTTCAAAGAACAGACTATAACACTAAATATGTTTTTCAATCTTTTAAAAAAAAAGATTACAAAACAAATATTCTAGCTATATGAGTTTTTCAGTTAAAAAAATTATGGCTAAGTCAGTGTTCATATTTTGAAAGAAAAATTACAAACCACATATTGGGTTGGAACTAAAATCAAGAACTTCAACCTTAAATTTTGCCATTTTAGAAGAAAAGAACTAGAAATGACTCGAGAGGTCTTTTCCATCAAGTCCTGAGCTCGGTACAAAGACAACAAACTCAGATGGGCTAGAATACATAGGCAAAGTTGGTGTTCAATTTTTGTATGGATGCTTTTCTTCTTTCTAAAACAAACACAGAGAACAAGTCTAAATCAAACACTTCTGTAGTGTGAGGTGCTTTGCAGCTGATCATTTACTTGCCCATTTCAGCTATAGATAAAGTGTTTTTAAAAAATATATACAGCAAGTTTTTGAAGAAAGTGAACTTAACATTCCATATAATTTACAAAGGGAGCTCTTGTTCAGACCGCAGCAATCTGACCATTGGTATTACCTCCTGCTCTGGATTCTCAGCAATCATCAGTCTGGATCACACTTCTACATTTGAAATGTAATTTTTGACTAATTTCAGTATGTCTTTGGAATATCAAAGGCAAAAGGAAAAAAAAAAGGCAGCAAGTTGGGTATTCCAGCTACAAAGCTTAAGAAAATTCTAGTACATGTGCACAAACAGCTCTCTTTATACAATGAAGTATTTGTTTTTGATAGAAATGTTTATTGTGCATCCTTGTAAAGGTACTAAACCAAGATGCAGAGGACCTCAATTACTTCTATGTCCTGAATTTTTTTTTTTAACTTTGGAATCTGTTTTGACCACTCTGTTGTTTACAGATTGTCTTTTACCTTTCTTTGTATTCCTAGTGCTTGGCACAGTGCCTGACACACAGTAGGCAAATTAATGAATAAATGTTTATTGACTGCCTAAAATAGAAAGATATAAAGAAGCAAAATACAAAGAACACTAAAATCAAATAGCAAATATATTCTTCTCCTTATACATCTTCAAGCAGAGGCTAGATGACCACTTATTGGGCATGTTAATGAGGATTCCTTTTGTGTTTGGCTTAAACTAGATGGTCACTAAGATCCTTTCCAAATCTAAATCTGAGATTGTATGAAATGTATTTGTGGACTATATATTAAATTATCTAACTTGCAAGCATTTATTTCTTTAAAATTCAAAACATTCATAACCTCATTAGTATAAGTGTCACTACCAGTGAAATAAATTTTAACCCTTCCACACCTTAGTAGATATTTGGCTGTCCTGAGTTTCTGTGGCTAAAAATAAAAGATCACTAGCTGGCAGCCAATCTTCTGGTGATAAGCCTCTCTGCACTTAGCTAGAATGATCTTCAGATAATAGACACATCTAACTTGTAGCCTTCCCAGCTTACTAGGAACTGCCAGAGCTTGCACTCCACTGCTATAGCCTTTCAAGAATCGATAGTCATCCCTGTGCCAGAGAAATATCAGAAGACTTTAAAAGAGGAGACAGTCTTAATATTCTTAAGAAATTACTTACGTGAAGGACAAAATTAACAAAGAAAATAAAAAGAGGCAGAAGAGAGAGAAGCATACCTCTCTGAGGGCTCATCTGTTTTTCCTGAAAAGAAGGTAGTGACATCTCTCCATCCTTTACTGCCAACCCCCTGAACCTGGAAGAAATGACAGACTTCGTCATGTTTAAATTCCTCTTGAACATTACATAAACTCAGATTTTAATTAATGCAATAATGTTTAATAATCAGAAAAAAATTAAACCCTAAACAAAAAACAGTGAATAGAATAATGTACAAAATATATCTCAGATCTTTTTTTTTTCTTACCTTTGAGCACTTTCACATTGTCCTTAACATCAATCAGTATCACCACCTAATATTTGCTAATGGTTGCTATAGCACTGAACTGGGGATAAGGGTAGATTCTACCCTTGAAATTTTCACATACTGATGATAAACTAAAACCAAAAATCTTCCAAAGTTTGAAATTTAGTCAAATAATTTATAACACTAACATAACATGAAATTTACTCAGCTGTTTCAAAAGATACAGGGACACAAAATCCTCTTTAAAAGTAGCATACTTACAAAGTAAACTCCCTTTCATCTAGAATTTCAGATGACCAAAAGTTCAAGTAATCATCATTTCTTTTACATACTACAGTACAATGAAAATGTTCATCATTATGTACCCTGATGTCTTCTGAATCAAATGAAGAGCATGTTTTGTGATAAGTTATCAGTTTTAGTGATAAGTATATTTTGCATTCTCCTTCTCTAGAAATTAATAACTCATAAATGGCATGTATGGCAATTCCCAGTTAAATAAATTCAGTTACATTTAAGGAACTTTTACTGGGTACCTACCATGTGCAAGGTCCTATGCTGGGCACTATGAAGGTTAAAAAAGATATATAAGAAACGGCCCCCAACTGTGAAGGGGTTTTATTGAATTAAGCAGAGCAGTTCACAACCCCTAACTATTCTAGATAAAATGCAGTAGCTTACTGCAATAATCTTTCTTAAACATCATTCTTTTAATTCCACAGTAGTGAAATGTAAGAGAAAATTAGCAAGTAATTCAATTCCAAGAAAGGGACTAAAGCATTTATATAGCAGCTACTGTGTGTCAGGGTAGGTGCTTTACATTTATTATGATTATTATTATTGTTATAGTTATCATTCCATTTGAACTTCATGGTAACACTGGGAGGCAGGTGCTATTATTATCATTTTGATTTTACAGTTAAGGAAATTAAGGCAAACAAAGGTTAAGTGATTTGCCCAGGATCACACAGCTAGGAAGTGTCTGAGGTCAAATTTGAACTCAGGTTTTCCTGATTCCAGGCCCAACACCATATCCACTGCATCACTAATCACTTCAAAATAACAGAACAGGTGAATTGTAAATCAAAGTACAATAGAGCATGCAACGGGAAAATAATAAAAAATGAGTCTATTAGGAAGTGAGAGTTCCTAGCATAAGAATGAAAATAAATGGTAGTTCATTTTAGCTACCAACATTAAGAATTCATTTGTGTCTAGAAAGTCTATTCACTAACATTTACTTTAATAAAATATCAAAACTTCCAAATAATTATGGCAACATCTGATACCAATCATTCAATGGTCAGTCTTTGCTAATAAACATCTGCAAATGCTACATGCTTTAAAACAGCAAACTGTTCAAAAACCAGGATACTCCCCAGGAGACAGAGGATCTTTTGCTGGGAAACAGGACAATGTACACACATCCTCAATATTGATTTTAGGTTAATAATTTACTCTTTTGAACTTAAAGTTAACCGAAGTGACAGGTACTTTAGTAAAGCCCTGCAAGGCATATCCCAAATGGATAGTTAGAGCACTTACCGAATAACAAATCAATGACAGCAAGATAAGAGGAAGAAAAGAGGTAATAGATGTTAATAACCTTTAAAAGTCTATATATTTAGTTTAAGCTGTCTCCATATCCCTCAAGTACACAGAAACTAGTACCACTAGATAGCCCACCGTGGGCCTTGACAGACAAGGCCTCTTAGGCATAAAGCAGATGTCACAGTATCAATGTTTCCCCTCCTGAATTAGCAAAGGAGGAATTTAACAGTCAAAATGAATAGCAAGAAGTGACATTACTTCTTCCTTTCAGGAGAAAGAAATGCTTAAGGTGCTTTAAGTCTTTACAGTGCGAAAACAGGTTATGGAGACTGGCTTAACATTTGTGCCTGGCTGTTGACAGGCAAGACCATTCCCTACCTTGGTTGCCAAATGAGATACCCCACTGGACACATCATCAAAAATCTTTCCCTCTTTCACCTATGTGAATCAAAATGTCAGCAATTAGTTATGAAACACAATAGCAAAAAATGTTTCCCTCTAATCTTAAAAAAAGGAAGAGATCAAATTAAAAAACAATTAAAATGTATGGATAAACTCCCCAAATTTTACTACCAACATTTTAGAAGAGTGCTTCTTAAGCAAAAAGGGGGAAGAGGGAGATGCCTCTAAATCACCTTTCAATTTTCTTATTCAGTATTACACTAAGAACTCTGATTTATGCATTAAGGAAATATAGCACAGTTAAATCTTTCAATTTTGGCATGAAAATGTTGTTCTTAATTCTTTAAATGCTATTTTGTCCTGCAGAAAAGCAGATATAGCTCCTGTCACAGAGGAAAAGAACTACTCTATATTTCAGGTGAGAACAGAACTGGGTGAGCTTTGAGGGAGTTTTTGTTCCCTCAAATGCTTTTTGAAATTGTTTCCTCCCCAAGAAAAAGGAAGGGTATTCTACAGATGAATGGTCTGATCTCGACCCCCGGGTTATTCTGATCTTATTTTCTCTGTGCAGGGTACTGTCTCAACTTTAAACTAATTTTTAAGGCAGAAGCTGGCCATCATCACAATAGAGTAGCTAGTACGGTGGACAGGGGACTGAACATGGAGTTAGGAAGGCCTAGGTTCAAATCTTGCCTCTGACTGATACCACCCACATGATTAAAGACAAGTCATTTTAACTGCTCTGAGCCAGTTTTGTCATCTATATATTTAACACTGCTTCTTAAACTGTGGGTCACAACCCCATATGGGGTCGCATAACTGAATGTGTGGGTCGTAAAAAAGATTTGGCAACAGTGAAAGGTTTCTGAATGCACAACAACCAAAAATTAATTCAAAACCAAACACATAATGAATCCACGGTGTTTCTGGCAGCACTTGCTTGTGTTGCACTGCACAATTTCACCGAAGCCTTGGTTCTGAAAACACGACATGCGTACTTTGCACTGCGCATGCTGCCAGAAACACTTCAGCTCAGATTCAAGACTATTGTATGTTATCAATTGCAGTGTTTTTACATTAGTACGCAAATTTGCCTTCATCTTTAATAAATGGCAAAATTCTATGTATACGAAAGAATTGTTCTAAGATAAATTCCTTCATGATTTATTATCAACAAATATTTGATTTATATACCTATTTTATATACCTACATACCTGGGGTCACGTAAAAATTTCTCAGGCAAAAAGGGGGCACAAATAGAAAAAATTTAAGATGTACTGATCTATAAAATGATGGCGTTGGATTGGATGGCTTCTAAGGAAGCTTCCATCTTTAAATCTAGGATCTTATGAACCAAGGAATGCCAGCAACTACCCACAGCTTTCTCTCCACCATCTTACCATGTACCTGTCTTTTTCTCTTCATCCTCTTTTTCTTCTCCTTTTCTAATTCTCCCTTTTTTTTTTCATTTTCCCTTGCTTTTTCTGGTAGGTCTATCAGAGGTATACCTACTAGAGTAATGACTGCTGACTCCTGATTTAAATGATCTGCATAACCCATCACTACAGCTTGCTTTGTTCTCTTGATTAACAATCTCCCACGTGGAGCTAGCACTACATAGCACTGATGTGTGCAATTATTTACAGGTGTCATTCATAGGTTAAATTTTGTATCTCATTTATCCTTGACTGGAACAGTGGTCCTGACATTACCAGGCATAAAGTGAAGGAAAATAAAAGTTTGCATCACAAGATTTAAAGGCAATACAAACCGAAAATGGAAACACTGTTGCCACAAAAACTTTTGATGCTACAAGCATCTAATGGAAATGAACACTTAACTGGTCCAAAGCAGAAATGATACATTTAAATGTAACTAGCTACTATGTAGCTAGCTACTTGTGAAACGACAATTGACGAAAATTATTTTCTTACAGAACAATGATTGTCTAAGTTATTTACTGGTTGCCAAAGTTACCTTTTCCTGTGCAGGTTTGAGAACATTTTCATTTAAACTGTGACCTAACTCTGAAGCCTATTTAAAATAAAGCAAATAAAAATTAGTCAGTTATATTTTCCTTTATATAAATACAGCCAACATTCACTGCCTTTAAGAAGCTGGTATGCAGGAATCACCAATGACACAGAAAAGACTCAAGCATAGCATTACAAAAGCAATGGATGGGTAGCTACGCAGCTAAGAATATGTCATAATACTCTGAAAAAATGTTATAAGGCAAAAATCCCAATTAGTTCTCTTGCCCCCAAAAGCTTAAACAAGGTACATATGAATTAGCTAGGAAGCAAGTGTACCCTCCACCCTAAGCCCATAAAGATGGCCTCTCTGGTTAAGCATTCAAGCTAAAGAGATATACACATGCACAGATATACAAAGATTGACACAGATATTTAACATCCCCATCCATTCAAGGCAGTCTTGTAATTCTGAACTATATTCTGCTTCCAACCTTTCCTGTCAATTATCCTGATTATCATCAGCCCTACAGGGCTTACTTTCCATCCAGGAAATATATTCCTTCTTTAACACCTAAGTATAGCTTCCTGTGATGCACGCAAGAGCATCTAATAATAGTTTCAAAATCCTTGTTACTAGGCAATAACAGAATCCATACCCATGTCAAAGGACATCAATAATGTTTTATAACTTACACATTCTTTTTTTCTGCAAGAATATGAAAATATTGTGGGAGGAAATAAATTTTGTACTTTCTATCTTGTGCCTTTCATTGGGGAAGAAAACCAAAGGTTAAATAAATTGTATGCCCCATACAAATAATGTTATCACTTAAATACAGTTGGTCTGGGGGAAGTGGAAACAAAAGGGATAAAAAAGGAGCAAATGCTAAGTCTTATGAAAAGTACAGCCTCACTCATGCCTACAAAAAGCAACAACTTCAGTATTTGAATTTTTCATCCTGCCCTTAACTCTTCTTCTTAACTAAACTGCTTGTAAGGCCCTCAAATTGGCCTTCAGAACAAAGAAGATTTAAGATGGCCTAATTTTAAGCAGTGCAAATAAAGCAAACTTTAGAATAAATATGGCCTAATTTTAAGCAGTTCAAATAAAGCCAACTTTAGAATAAATAGCACTGGCAATGATAGGGAAACAAAATGAGCCACTTTTTAGCATATACTAAGAAACCACTGAAAAAGGGAAGAGATGCTCACCAGGAATCTAGTATTACAAAAGGCAGAACTGCTAAATGATAGTAGCCAGGAATTATTCAATCATTGTAGAAAGCCTCTTAGAGAGCAGCTGTATTTAAAAAAAAAAAGTCTTTTCTTTTATTCAAAGGCTATAAGTTGATACGTAGTTTTTATTTTTTTTAAAATAAATTATTTGGGAATTAAATTCAAAATATGGGAGCTGTAAAAAATATATCTGAGTTCATCAATCCAAATCAAATGGAAAAGCATTAGATTTGAGGTTAGAGAACCTAGGTTCAAATTCTAACTCTGCTATTTAATACCTGTGTAATCTTGGGTAAGGAATTTCATCTTTCTGATATGAGTTTCCAAATCTTCTGATTCTATGACATAAGCACAATGCTAATCAAACTATTTAATTAAACCATAACTCAATAACTAAGTTTCAAAAAGACCTTCTAGAGGTTGTCACACAAAAAAATTGAGGCTAGCTTGTTTAGAACAGGTCATTCGAGAACTAGTGAACACAGCTGTGAGCATCACTCCACAGATCACACAGCTACCACTGCCACATTTTCAGATTTACTAAACGCTCATGAGGGCAGGTTATTTGTACAAGCAGTTCAAAATGATAGTTCAAAATGACTTTACTTAGGCTAAAACATATAAAATGAGGCACACAACAGAATTTAAGACAATGAACAAAAATTGCAAAAAAGCTAATGAAGAGCAGTGCACAGCCCAACAGCAATAAGCATACACCAGCACAAATAGTGGTATGGGCCCATGCACAAGAATGTACGTGAGGGCTTTACCGGCTCTGGTTGCTGTTTGTAGCCCCAAAACTTGACCCAAGAAAGGGGGCAGAGAAGAAAACGAGAAAGAGAGCAAGGAAAGTAGAAGCAGTATTTAGCAAAAACTGGAAGCACTTCACAAGCAGGTTAAGTGTTAAAATTCATTTCTATTTATATCATCTACTGACAAGGTGAACTTCCTTCAATGGACATGAAATTGTGATAGATTTTACTGGCAGTTAAATATGGCTGCTGACACTAAATACACTTCTAGTTATGGTTAGTAAGTGGATTTCAACTGCCAGGTATGCCAAGATTCAGAATGAGAGTGTTGTAAGAAAACAATACTCTCTAAACACACTCTTGCTAATGGAACACTTTATAAAATGTGTTTTGTACATGGCAAATCTTAACTTGTACCGTATTTCCATAATTATAAGGCAGCAGGGTAGAACCATGGTCTATGTATATAGTATTTGCTTCATTCAAACTAGGAGGCAAATATCTGACTAAATTTTGGATCCCATACCTGCCACACATGCGAGCAGTACAGAATTGTCATTTCTGATGGTCCATTCTGAAGTTTTAACAGAAAACAATAATACTGATGATGAATGTAAATTGTCTTAATCAAACTCTTAAATTTTTTGATCTCAAGAATTTGAGATTATTTGATGAAAATAAAAGGAACAGAACAGACCCTGAGATTAAAAATCCAGGGCAAACCTAAATCTGTGTAAGGATACAATCTGTCTTTTAAAATCTGCTCTCATTACAAAAGGAGGAACTTTTATTTCTAGAAAAACTTCAAGGGCGTAACTTGAGCCTGGCTTTTTTGTGTTTGAATTTTCAAGTGCTCTGTGCAGTATCTGAATCAGAACTAGGCACAATTTGCTTCACTGCCCATGTATTTTAACTAAACAAGAGTGTACACTGTTGCACCTTTACAGGTGAAGTTTAATTCCATTAGTGTCTTAAAATTCTTCAATTTTGTTCCATGTGGGGTTAATTTAGTTCATACAATGCCCTAAGCACATGCAGTCTTTTAACATACTTGCTTACAGGACTTCATAAAATTATAGGATATTTAAAGAATGGACTTTCTGATGTTCTATATCCTTGTAAACTATAATGTGCTTTTTATTTTTAAAAAGATTTTTAAATGGCTACAAATATAAAATTTTTAAATGACTACCTCTTAAAAGAATTTTATTTCAATCACGTGTGAACATAAGACAGTAGTTTTATTCAGTTTTACAGTAGAAATTTCAGTCCATCAATTATGCGTTTACTAGGGAGCAAAAGGGAGGTGTAATCACCTATCATTGGTTACAGTCTCCAAGATGAAATTTATTAAACTAAACTCTGAAGTATGACTAGTGAGGTTGTGAACAAACTACGTCTGAAAAGAGAATGGCAACAGCTACTATAAATAATGATGGGGTCTGATGTACTCATTTGAATCCACCGAATGCTGCTTTAAAGGAATTAGAAAAGCACCAGAAAATTATACAAATAGCATAATCAAGATGCAAAAGTTATCATTTCACTACCTTTTGACTTGCTTGGGATCCAAATTTTGTAGCCTATAAAAAAAAAAATACAAGATCTTCATTATCAAGCAACACATATATCAACAGGATTCGATTTTAAAGTTTAGCTATAAAAATTTCAGTTTCAAAATAGTGTCACAACTTAAAATAAGATCTGCAACTCTAGCAGTAGTGCCATTTTAGGTATCTCTAAATCAGCATTTTCCATACATTAGCCTACAAAAATTTGTTTCTGTGTGATATGAATGGAAGTTCCATGAGAAGATTCAACAAAAAGAAAATTTTCACCAAAAAAAAAAAACCCTAAAACAACCCATTAAAATATGCAATTACTTATCAAAACATATTTGGGGTTTTTTCAGTATGAAATTAATACATTTTCATTATTCTGTTTCCTGATTTTTCCAGATGTCATTTCATCCTAGAAGTACTCTTTATCTCAAGGTCCCCTGGAAACCAAGTTCCATCAACTCTCCAAATTGTTCTGGAGCCAAATTAGTTTCAGAAGCATTGCTCCAAGGCATTCTGATACCACTTCCTGTAGCTGGTCTCTAAGCAAGTTTACTAAAAGGCCATACAAAAACTTAAATTTAACAATAAAAATTTAATAGGAAATTACTATTTCTGTAATACGCACTTGATTCAGCAGTTAGTCAAAACACACATGCCAAAGACCTATATGCAGAGGACTCATTTAGGTGTTAATGGGAACCCTAAAGAAACCAGAGGTGCCATCCTTCCCTTACATAACAGATATAACAACATCTAGCAACCACTGAGATAATGACACAGGTTAGGAAAACAGGGCGCTCTATTTTCAGAGTTTTTTTTATTCCTGTTGTTGGATAGCCAGAATTACAAATACGGTGACAGAGTCTCAGTACCAATCTTAACCTTTAACAAGATCCCACCGGTGAAACAACAGAGTCAACAGAAGAAAGAGCGAAATGTAAGGGTAGTCCCCTTGTTCGAAGTGAAATTGCCTCATCAACTAATCAAACAACAAACATTTATTATGTGCCCACTATGTTCCAGGCACTGTGCATATATGAATGCTGGGCCCAGACTGAAAGCAGGGCTGATGGTCTCACTAGCACTATTATTTCCAGGGCTCTTCAGTTCAGGATCCTGAACTGCATTAAGAATGACCTGAGTGGAACATTCTGTCTCCTGTCTTTTCTTAGGTGTCTGCGTGCTTCAGGTAGTTTGGCTTACTTGTCTCATAAACAGTAAATATAGTGTGAGAAGCACAGATAATGCAAACCTGACTGGATTGTAGAGAGCAGAAGGGGGATTACTATACAATGGGACTGGAAAGACAGGTTGAGACCAGGTTATGAAGAGTTTCAATAGTCAAATAGTGAAGTTTACATTTTATTCTAGAAGCCATAAGGAGACAATGAAATTTACTAAGTAAGGGACTGATATGATTCAATCTGTATTTAAGGAAAATTATTTTGGCAGCTGTGTGAAGGGTGATTGGAGTAAGGAAAGACTTGAAGCAGGAAGACCAATTAAGAGTCCACTGGAATTCTAGGCAAAAGATGGGCCTAAACTAAGATCCGAGCTGAGTAAACAGGGAGGAGTCAACTACTGTGGAAGTGGAAATTGCAAGATTTGGCAAATAACTGTACATGTAGGGTGAGGGAAAACGAGAAGTCAAAGAAAATGCCAAGGTGACAAACTTAGGAGACTGGAAGAATGGTGGTGACTAGTAGAAAAAGGATGAGTTTGGGGGAATAAATTATGTTTTGGACATGTTGAATTGAGATGTCTCTAGGAAATCCAGTTCATAATGTTTGATGGTACTGTGAGAACTGAGGGATAGACTATGGATGGATTGGTAGATCTGATAGTCATATGCATAAATGATAATTAGACTTATGAGGTCACCAAAAGGATTGGGGGGGAGGAAGGGAGATGGAGAAAGAGAGTATATGTGTGTGTTTACATATCTTTTATATCTCATATATGTACACACACATAGAAAGACACAGACACACAGACACAGACACACACACGAATGAAGAGTTTCAGAGAGCAAGTACCCCAGGACAAAGCTATAGAGAATACCAATAAATAAAGGGGCATGATATGGAAAATGAACTAACAAAGACTGAGAAGCAGCAGAAAGATTAGTAGGCAGAGAACCAGGAAAAAGTAATGTCACAAAAACCCAGAGATGAAAGAGTGGTAAACAGTGTTAAATGCAGTTAGGAGGTCAAGAAGACTAACAGAACCAAGAGAATGTTGTACACAATAATAGCCACGTTGTGCGATGACTAATATTGATAAACTTAACCCTTCCCAGCCATACAAGGATCTAAGACATCTCCAAAGGCCTCGTGATGGAAAATGCTATCCACTTCCAAAGAAAGAACTATGGAATTTGAATGTAGATCGAAGCATACTATTTGCTATTTTTTTTTCTCTTCTGTTAAGTTTTGTTTCCTCTCTCTGGTGGTTCCTCCTATTGGTTCTAATTCTTACTTACAACATCACTAATGTGAAAATATGTTTAATAGGAATGTATGTGTATAGCCTATATCAGATTGTGTGTGCGCTGTCTTGGGGAGGGTAGTAGGGAGGGAGGGGGAGAAAAATTTTAAACTCAAAAGCAAATGGAAGTGATTGTTGATAAATCAAAATAAATAAATTAAAAAAAAAAGAATGACTGACAAAAATTATCAGATCTGGCATAATCATCCCTGATTGTCAATTAAACTTTGGCTGTTCATCCTGAAAGGGACATTTGTTTCTACACTCCTTTGATTTGTTTTGAAAACTGGCATATACCTCAAATGAACAGGCCTATCAGAGTTCATCTTAGAAAATTATAATTAACTCTTAAAAATACCAGTATCAGAGAGATTCACAAGTAATTTCAAACATTTAAAGAACAATTAATTCTACTACTACACAAACTGTCTGCATTAATAAGAGAAGACAGCATGCTTCCAAACTCTTTCTATGATACAAATATGGTCTTGATACCCAAACTAGAGAGACAAAGTAGGGAATGAAACTATAGACCACTGTATGTAGACTACTGATGCAAAAGTTGTAAATAAAATGTTAGTAAGGAGGCAACAACATATTAAAAAGATTATATATTATAACCAGTTTGAATTTATACAATTAGCCTGTGAGCTCCTTGACAGCAGGGACTCTATCTTTGTATTTCCAGTGCTTAGCCCAGTACCTGGCCTTTAAACCCAAATCACTCTGGCTCTCACTGATTGGCCAATAATAGGTCCCTGCCTAAGCCTCACTGACTCACTGTTTGGGTTTGATGGCTCAGAGTGAACATCAATAGCAATCGTTTCCATTCTGGCCAGAAACCAGGAGTTTTCCCTTTCCAGATTGAATCTTTCGGCTATCTTTTGCCTCAATTCTTACCTAGCCTTTAATCACTGAATAGGTGTTGCCTCAGACAAACTTGACACCAGGGAAAGACCTTAGCTTAAAAAGGCCAGGGGCTATCTCCAGTCATCCTGCTCTATATCTTGCCACTGGACCCAGATGGCTCCAGAGGAGAGAGTGAGGCTGATGCCTTTACACAGCCCTGCCTCATTTAAATCCAACTCATTTGCAAGTCAAGACATCACTCTCCTGATGTCACTGAGCCTCTTTGAGAATGAAGGATAAACAACAACAATAGCCTTAGCACAGTACCTGGCAAATAACAGGTACTTAATAAATGCCTGCTGACTTGACCAGAAATGTAGGGTTGGTTCAGCATAAGGAAGACAATAAATTTATAAACCATATTGATAATATAAATGATAAAAACCATATGATAACAACAGATGCTGAAAATGCTTTTTTACAAAATCCAACATTTAATCATATAAAAAATCCTAGAAATTATAATAAATGGACCTTTCCTTAATATAGTAGTTTTTATTTAAACAGAGCAAGAACAGACATTATATGTAAATGAAAAAGGTTACAAATCTTTTTCAGTAAAAGCAAGGATGTCCATTATCATTGTTAATATATGAACATAATGTTAGAAATGCTAGCCAAAGATATAGACTAGAAAAGGAATTTGAGGGAATAAGCATAACAGAGAATAAGCACTGGCAAAGAAAAAACAAAATTAGTCACTTTTTATAGAAGACATGATAGTGCATATAGAGAACCTAGACAATCAACTAAAATTAATTAATAATTTAGCAAAGCTGCAAGATATAAGATAAATCCACAGAAGTAATAAACATCCCTGTATGTAACAAAAAAAAAATGCTTTTGAGTACAGCTTCTGAGATTCATCCATGGATTATGTGAATCCAACTAAAAAACACTCTTTGAAGAAATGAAAACAGACCTAAATAACCCTAGAAACATTAACTGCTCCTGCTGGTCAAACAAAAATGACAAAACTAGCCAAATCAACTTACTTCTTCAAGACCAAACTCCCAAAATAATAAAGAACTAGGAAAAAAAATGAAATTCATAAAGGAACAAAGGTCAAGAATTTCAAGAGAAATACTGAAAAATGATCACATAAAAAAATGTGAGAAGAAAGGCAGTCTTATAGTACCAGATCTCAAACTGTACTATAAAGCAGTAATCATTAAAACAATTTGCTACTGGTTAAAAAAAGAGAGAGATGCTGAAGAGGACAATTTCAGAGAAAACTAGGAAGGCCTTTATGAACTAATATAGAATAAAATGATCAAAACTACAACAATTTCTAAAATGCTAACAGTAGTATAGGGAAAAACAATTTTGAAAGACTTTAAAACATTGATCAATATAATAAAAGCACAAGACCAAAAGAATGAAGATGAAACATGTCAATCTCCTGAGAGACAAGTGATGAACTTAAAAATGCAGAGACATGCATGTTTGGACACAGTTAATGTGGAAATTTGTTTTGACAGACTATGTAGATAAGTATTGAGGGATTTCCTTTTCAGATGTCAAAGAACTATAGTCAATTAGTAAGCATTTATCTTAGTCAAGACTATGGGCTGGAATACCATGTTCAGTTCTGCTGACCACATTATAAAAATGCTAATGACAAATTAAAATGCCTCCAGAAAAGGGTGACCTCCAGGATGGTAAGAGGAATGGAACTATGAAACAAAAGGAAATATCCAAGGAAGGATATTTAAGCATGGAGAAGAAAGACTTAAGAAGAAGTATTTGATCTTCAAGTATTTCAAGGGTTGTCATACAGAAGAGGAATCAAAATTATTCTGCTTGGCTTCAAATGGCAAAAATAGAAGAAATGGGAAGAAACTATAAAAGTAGATTTAAGATTGACATAAGGGAAAACTTCATAACAATGAAAATTATCCAATAACACAACGGGCTACTTTGGCAGACAGTTAGAAGCTGGACAGATCACTTGCTGAGACATTTTAGAGACAATTTCTCCTATAGTACAGTTTGAAGGAGAAGTCTTTTTAAGTCCTTTTCATTTTTTGAGGTTTTAGGATTCAATTTTTTCTTTCCACATTTATACCAAAACAAATAACTAATATTTACTTTATTACATGGAATAGGACGAGAGAGTTGAAACTGGAATGAGTACAGTCATATTTTTAATCCTATTTATTTTTCAACCAAAACAACCATTCAGGCTTGTCTTACTCTTTTAATAACTTCTATATACTGCAATAACAAAATCCCACAATTTCAGGTTATACACACACACATACATATACATACATATATGCACACATACATGTATACACATGTTGTAATTTAGACTACTATGTCTCACACTTATACAATCTTTAAAAAATAATTTTGAACATCTTAAATATGTGAATACCCTTGCAGGTCATTTATGTAAGTAATAAATAAATCAGACCAAAGCTTAGCCATTTACTACCTGCGTGATCTTGGGAAAATCACTTAGCCTTTTTGAGACTCAGTTTTATTAACTGTAAAATGAGGGGACTGGAAGGGAAGGAAAAGGGAATAAGCATGTATATCATGCCTACTATGTGCCAGGTACTATGCTAAGAACTTTAGAAATATAAATTTCATAACAATCCTGGGAGGTAAATGCTGATATTTCCCCATTTTACAGTTGAGGAAACTGAGGCAGACAGGGTAAGTGACTTACACAGCTACTAAGTATCTGAAACTGGATTTGAACTCAGGTCTTCCTGACTCCAGGCTCAGTATTCTATCTACTGAGCTACTTGGCTGCCTAACTGGGCTGGAATACATGATCTCAAAGATTCCTTTCAAATATAAATCTATGACCACAAAAATCAGAGAATCTGAGATTTGGAAGGGACCTTCATGGCCGTCTAGTCCATCCTACACCTAATAAGAATCCCCAATATGGCATATCTGACAAGAGAGATAACTTGAGAGAAAATTAGTTATTTCACAAACTGTATTAACTTCCATACCTACCATACAGAGGTATAAGGAAAGTGTATTGCTAATCTTATTATTATTAGTTTTAGTTTTTAATCCACAGTGAAAGCTGGGACTAATGTACAAGTCAAATTTTGAGAACTTGTAAAGTTGTAAATTTAGTATGTTCTACTTATACAAGGATGGTTAATCTCTTTACTCTAGGAAATAAAATCCTCATTTGGCAATAAAAGTTTAGAATATCTGTAATTAAGTAAAGAACAACTCACAGTGTCATCTAAGGATGCTGACTCAAGGTAATCTTTTCATAAGTGGGCTCTCTGTAAACTAGTTTTACAATAGTTTGGTGGCTGTTTACTTACACCTTCTTTAGCCGCAGAAGCAAACTTGCTTGCTCCAGTTGTAAAACTGCTCCAGCCCTGAAAGAAGTAACAGAAAATTACTACACAATTAGTAAAATACATCAAGAATCTCCTCTTACTCATGTTTAAAAAAAAGAAATTGTAAAAGCAACTAGATATAACCATAATATTAGCACTCATATTTATGTTATTCAATTATATACCCTACATGATAAAACTAGATTATTTCACTGGCAACAACGGACAGTATTTTTACCATTTGTTTTTGCTTTCAGTTTCAAAATGAGAACTTTTCCAAATTACAGCAGTAAAAGAACCTTCCCTCCTCTTAAGTCCTATAAAACTTACTGTCCAAGTCAATCACTTGTGACTTACTATATACTATTTTGTTAGTGAGTTCTCTGTAAAAAGTTGAATTGAATTCAAGGTTCTTGAGAGCAGAGATGAATCTTAGAGACCTTCACATGCCTCACTGCATGTATTGCAGTATTTTGCACATAGTAGGCACTCAAAAATGTGTTTATTAAGTGATCACAATGAAGTATAACTGCATGATTCACTCATACAAGACTAGAATTAGAAGCATCTAAGAAGTGAACAATTTCTAACAGAGAGTAGGGATAAACCAAGTTTTAGACTTAGAAAGAAACTAAGTCTCTGGCCCAGAGAAAGAAGAAAAAAAATAAATATTCTGACTCTAGTCAACTTTGTTACAATCTTTCAATGAGGTTATCACAACCACTTCAACAGAGTCTACAGTTAAAAGACATGAGGAAATCAGCACCTCTGGATAATTTTATAAAACTTCCTATCTTAGATATGAACAATGGAGATGATGCCCCTCTTTTCTACAAAATATGCACATCCTGACAAATTAGGTAGTACAATAAGTGCTTATAAAATTTGTCGTGTGAATCTAGTTAAAGCTTTATTTGTGTGAGAGATGTCAGTTTACTAAAGCAACAGCAAATCACTAACAAAATATGCTTACTGATATGAAGAAAGATCTTGATAAACTAACATAATGAGCTGAACCTAAGACAATGAACCTATTAAGGTTAATTTAAAGTCCTACACTTGGGTACCTAAAAAAAAAATCAACACAAGAATAGGATGAAGGCTGTATAATCAGAAAAAACTCAATGTGAAAAAGACTTAGGCATTTCACTATACTCACTTCATAGTTAAGACTATGAAAATTCAGGTCAAATATAATACACAATACTGGTACCATAAAATCAAAGTGAAAGTATATGCCTTTACTTTCTGCTAACAGGAAAACAATGAACTACTACTTTCAAATACATTATATTCATACATACAAATACACTACATTGGTGGTTTTGCTTAACTATTTTGGGGGAATGTACTACATGTGTTGGTGGGTTGTTTAGAAGCTTCATATTGAAACAAAATGTGTAATTTTTTTTTTTTGTAAAGAGCCAACAATATGACATGTAACCAAAAAAGTATATTTAATCTTAGGTTATCTTAACAAAAGAGTATTCAATCTCTGAGGTACCACCTCACACCTATCAGATTGGCTAATATGACAAAAAAGGAAAATGATAAATGTTGGAGAACATGTGGGAAAATTGGAACACTAATGCATTGCTGGTGGAGTTGTGAAATGATCCAACCATTCTGGAGAGCAATTTGGAACTATGCCCAAAGGGCTATAAAACTGCATACACTTTGATCCAGCAACGACACTACTAGGTCTGTATCCCAAAGAGATCATAAAAAAGGAAAAAGGACCCACATCTACAAAAATATTATGGCAGCTCTTTTTGTGATGGCAAAGAATTGAGGGGATGGTCATCAATTGGAGAATGGCTGAACAAGCTGTGGTATATGAATGTAATGGAATACTATTGTGCTATAAGAAATGAAGAGCAGGAAGACTTCAGAAAAACCTGGAAAGATTTACATGAACTGATGAGTGAAGTGAGCAGAACCAGAAGAACATTGTATACAGTAACAGCAACATTATGTGATGATTAACTATGATAGACTGAGATCTCCTCAGCAATACAATTGATCCAAGACAATTTCATGCTAACCACATCCACAGAAAGAACTGTAGATTCTGAATGCAGAGTGAAGCACACTATTTTCACTTTTTGTTTTTTGCCCCTTTGTTCTGATTCTTCTTTCATAACACAACCAATGTGGAAATATGTTTAATATGATTGTACATGTATAACCTATATCAGATTGCTTGCTGCCTTGGGGAGCAAAGCTGCTGAAGGATGGGTGAACTGGCCCAGGTCAGAAAATTGAAGCAGGTTAAAGCTACCATGGTGTTCTACAGTGGAATTGGCCCACCAGTACATGCTGCATTTCCAAACGAAGGAAGAGGAAAGTGATGATCTTCCTATATGCTGCCTAGGTAAGACTGTCTTCAGTTCCGCATGCCATATTTTAGGAAGCACACCAAGTAGCAGGGAAACTGGGACAGTGACATGATTAGGAAACAACCATGTTATCTGAACATCAACAGATAAAACTAGAGATGATTAGCTTGAAGAAGACAAGACTCTAGGTTGGGAATGATAGCATGAAAAGGTTTAGATTTGATGTGCTTGGCACCAGAGGTCAAAGAAAGGAGCAGTGGGTGAAAGCTGCATAATGGCAGATCTTGGCTGAATATAAGAAAAAAAATCCTAGCAGGAAGTGCTCTCTGAAAGTGGAATGGGAAGTCTTGGGAGGGAAAGTTTCTTAACACTAGATGTCCTCATGCAAAAGCTGGATATCCATTTGCCAGAAATGTAGATAGCATTCTTGTTTGGGTTTAGACTAAATTAGAGGACCTCTGAAGTCCCTTCCAACTCTGAGACATTATGATTCAGTGTAGCTTTTGCAGTTTGGGGTATGTACAACAATTTCCCAAAGAGAAAACAACAACAAAAACAACAAAAAACCCAAACAGAAAATCAGAGGTAAGCAGACTACTACCCTTCCTTCAAGGCTTTAAGAATTTTGTTGGTAAGAATTTTAAGCCAATATATGTTTGAATTGTTTAAAATCTTAAATACCCTGGACCTAAGACATCTTATACCATTCCAAAGGGATGGAGAATCAAAGTTCTTTAAATATGAAAAGGGATATAAATATTAAACAGTTTTAAAAAAAAAAATCCAGAGAGCAAAAGAAACACAACCTAGAAGATAGTTTCTTTAATGGCCACACAAACATGCTTTTGTCAGAAATCTTACTTCTCTACTTCCCTAGTTTCAGAAACAACCTCAACAGGAAACAATTATAGTTATTATCTCCTTTCTTCATTTCTCTCTATGGTTCCAAGCTTAAGGTGAAGCTGAAGTTAAGCAGATATGAGATTAGGCATTTAAACAATAAAAGTTTACTTGGAGAACAAGAATCTTGGAAAATGTATTTCCATTTTGTGGTGGGGGGAGGTTTTGTCAATGTGCATTTTTAAGTACTGCATGATTCTTATACTCTGCATTTCTGAATTACATGGTTACTAAACTGCTACCAAATAATACTGAATGTTACGTAATAGTAAGAGCTTATGATACAACAGTCTGTATTTACAAAATCCTTTATATACATTACCTCAGGAGTTTTCAATAATTCACTCACATTTCTGCTGCCTTTATTTTTGGTCCAGGACTATGATTTTTATCAGGATAGGGAGTTTCCCAGTGAAGAAAACTCTTACCAAAGCAGATCAGCTTAGTTATTCTACAACTTATAGTCTTTGAGTTGCCTAGGCCATTGAAGGATGAAGTGACTTTCCCAGGGGCACAGTTACTATGGATGGATGGATAGATGAATGAACGGATGGACAGATAGATAGATAAACAGACGGATAGATAGATAGAGAGAGAGAGAGGCAGACAGACAGATATGAAGGTATAGATATATAGATATCTCAGTGGTGGGATACGAACTGACTGTGATGCCAGTTCTCTATCCACTATACACTTAACTCTCCATATATCTGCTTCTGATAGGTAGCCACAGCCAAAAAATTCAGTGCCTAATTGCTAATGTACTGGCAACATGCTGCTTGGTAGAGCTGACCAAAGTTTATGTGCTGTTGGCAATGTCTTGAGAACCCAGTCATCTTATAATTAGACCCTGGAATAAAACGTTTGTGGAGGATAACATAAACTGACTAATCTCAGAATAATTGTAACCTTCCATTAGCACACTTCTTGTCCACAAAAATGAAATTTCTATCTCTTCTACAGTCAGTAAACATGCCAATACCAAGGCATCAATGCAATCTGCTTTTAGTCTTACAGTTCAAGTACAGCCTTCTGTGAGGCCTTCAGACTTTCATTACATATTCTCAATAGAGAAAAGCAAAAATGTCATTTTCATTTTGGAGGCACCTTGTGGTTTTAGAAAAAAGGGTACTATATAAATTTTAAAATTTTTTTTAAAAAAGTAATGTATTGAAGTGCCAACCAAAAAAACCCTCTTCTTTTTGTTGAACCATATATTTTAAGTTTCATTAAGGATGTCAAAATTCTTTTGATGGTAAGGATGAATTGATCTAAACAAATATCACAGGAAAAGAACTACTCTTGGAACAATGACTTTTGATTGAGAAGTACAGCACCGAACAAACCCTTTCTACCTTGAGATGCTTGTCTCTTGAGCTCCTTCATTTTATTCTACATAGGGGAAAAACTATTATTGCAAGTCTCCAAAACAGGTCAGAACATAAAGCTCTAGGAGAGAATTTCCTTACCGAATACAGTGATGACATGGCATTATTGAGGAAGTCATCATCTTTTTTCTGAGGAGGTACTGTGTTACCAAACCCAACATAGCGATTCTCTTGGCCTCTAAAAACCATTAAACATAAACAAATTAATTGAACAAATCTTTTCTACAAAAAGCAAATACTATTACCTCTCAGTCTATTGCATAATTACATGTCTTTAAAAAAGAAAAAAGGGAGAATCTGGTAGTGCTGAAAGAATTATTTTTACTGGAAACAGAATGGTGAACAAACATTGTTTGAGCTTTCTGAACACTTCAGTCAATGCATCCTGGTCTGTATACTACTACCACCAAAGAAACTGATACTCAATCTTTTGTTATCAGGTGTCAAATGGATAACACTGCTTCTCTAGTAGGATACAGAGAATAATTTTTTTTTCTCTTGGTCATTTATTATGAAGGGAACTCTATGAAAGATTTCCACTAGCCTTGGGAACCCTTTATCACCTATGTGAAAGAATTGAAAGAAGCCAAGTTCTAAATAATAAAATAAGTAATCTAACCTGATAGGATATGGTCTACTAAAATTCACGTGCAAGTCAGTAAGATTGATAGAGTAAGAATAACTATAGCCCTCTGACTAAAGTAACCAATGTGTTGAACACTAATTTTAAAAGATATCAAAACAGTATGTTGTTCATAACCAAAAACTGCACAACAGGCTTAGATTTCTTGAACTCTACAAAGGATAAAGTATCTCCGTTCAAAATACACAAAAAGTAGTATATTCCTGACCCATTCATATGATGAAAGCCTTTGGGAGATAGATTAAATTAAAATTAGATAACTATGTATTTCTTATTATTCATGAGGCCTCACCCTTGATATGAGTTGATATCATCATTCAACCAGTCTTCAAAAGCTTTGTCTGAAGAGGCAGTTGTATTTTGCAATTGGCCAGAAGTACTGAAAATCAAGGATTAAAGGTTAATGGAATCAAATCCTGGTAGAAAGAACATATTTAGCTGTCTTTCAGCATTTCAAGGATCTGTGATAAAACTATTATAGATAATCCCTCCACTTGCATAGGTCACAACCTTCCCTAAGCCTTAGCAAACTGTCTCCATGAAAGGCTATGCTGGAAAAATTCAATGCTTAGTAGCCAACCTTCTGGTGCCAAGCCTTCCCATGCTAGGTTGAGCAGGCCTTTGGACAAGAAATATACAATCTGTAACTATGCTTGTACTCAAAGCTCTATAGTTGGGAAGAGTCTGTCAGAACTTGTGCTCCACTGGCATAGCCTTTGAGAACTCAGGGTCACCTCCATACCATGAAGTGACATCAGGGCACCACTTAAATGAAGGTACAAAGAACATAATAAAGAAAAAAAAAGGCCCACCTAGTGAGACCCGAATGCTAGCCAAGGCAATGGATGTGGCTTTGTATCACGCCTGTCATTTCAGGTATGATTTGCTCTGCAGGGTAAGGCCAAGATAATTTAAATTCCTTGTTTGAAATAAAGTTTTGAGGAAAAGATGAAAGCAAGTAAGGTGACCCATTCCAACACTATGTAAATCAAACAGCAACTGCTACTGGGACCATTAGATACATAGTAGGGCCAATGGAGGGAACAAAGGGGCGGGGCAGAAATTTACAAAAAAAAAAAAATAGCCTTTCAGAAAACCTTCAGATAGAAACACCTCAAAACTAAAAAAAAGTTTAATCCTGGCAAGAAAGCATAAATGCATAGAGTTTTAAGTATAAGAACGTCAATTTAAAAACAAAACACTGAAGTAAAAAGCTATTTGTTTATCAAAGCTAGTATTAAAATTTAAGTATTAATAGAATTCTATACTGGAGCTGAAATTGGAACACAGAAAGAAAATGGTAAATGAGACCTACAGCAAAACTTCAGAAGTACAAAGGAATACGTTTGCATTTAAAAGTCATATACCGGTGAGCTGAGGATAGAGCCATTTTAGGTTGAGGTGGAGTCCAGTTTTGAGCAGAAGATGTTTCAAGTGACCATTCTTTTCCTTCAGCTAATGTAGCTACCTAGAGACAAGTAAATGACAAAATAAGACAACATGAAGTCAAATAAGAATTTAGAGATTATGGATTTTTGATTTACTTGTTTGTTGAAGGCACACCTACACAATCTACAGCACTCCAAGCCAAAACCTCGCCCCCAAAATACCCCAAAACAAAGCAACAGCAAAACTCCCTTTATAGCCAACTTCCTCATATGGCAGTTAATGTCCAGTTGTATCTTAAGTTATGTCTCTCAATTTTGATTACAATTGAAAGTAATTTCAGAGTTCAACTTGATCATTTTAGTTCTACACATAAACCCTTGGGAATCTACTTACCTATCCCATCATGCAATGTGCCTCACTCCCCTCTGAGGAGAATATTTTTCTCAAGATTATATGAGCTTTTCATTTTCTATTACTATATAAAACTCAATGTTCTGCTCCCTCCTTCTTCAACTCCCTCCCCTGCATTACAGGTAGGGAAGAAAGCACAGCTTCTGTTTATCAAAGGCCATTTGTTTACCCTATAATCAAAATCAACAGAGTCATTACTCTTTAGCACATTAGGTAACCTTTTGACTGTGGGAAACTCTGACCTAATGATGGCCACAGCCTCATTGATTGCAGGACCCTGCTGTTAGCATCTGAAGGCTTTATTAAGAAATTAATTAAATTTTTCTACAAACATGTTTGATTCGCAAAATGTTTACTGTGTAAGTACGACAGAAAGCATAAGCCTCACTTCCTAAAAAGATTACATTAGAGTTTATATTCTTCTAACCATACAGAAAGTTGACACTTAAGCTTACCTTGTCCCTAAAAAGAGCTGCAGCTTTGCTGTTGTATTTCTCCTGCATTGACCAACAAGAATCATAATCTTCTTGGGATTCCAGGAATTCCCGAAATCTGGCATTTCCCCCAGCCTTCATCTTCTCAAGCTCAATGTCCTTCCATTTGTCCATGGTAACAGAGCGCACAAAACTAGGAACCAACATACATCCATTATCTAAAAGTGTCTTCGATTCATTTTATCTGGCCCTAAACAATGCTGTGTGCAATGCTCTAGTTTTTTAATTTCTCAATGGGTAACTCACCTGAGGTGAACTCCTAGGCCTCGATGTTTTCCTGAGCATTCCAGGCAGATCCAAATCCCATAGGTCACACTCACCCACTGGGGATTGAATGCTCCACACTCAAAACAGACCTGCAAAAAAAAAAAAAAGTATCAAAAACAACTCATAATAGCCTCTGGAAACATACAGCAATATACAAAGAGGAAGAACAGGGTATATGAGTGTTCTTCAGAACCACTGGATAAAAGAAAGATGGAGTTGACAAGAGAGATTCCAGAAAGGATGGCTAAAGAAGTATGAGAAACAAGATAAAGAAGTAACCTAAAAACCAAGGTGTCAGCATATTGGGTCAGTAATTTCAAACCCAACAGGCAGAACTAGTAGAATTAGTATGGAAAAGAAGCCCTTGAGTTAGACTAAGAAAAAGTCAGTGGAAATATAGAGAATGTGGTTTCTATGAAGTAGTCCCAGTGAAAATCAGAATGTAAGGTGTCACAGACAAAGCAGAAAAAGACAGATGGTAGGAAGGGACAGTACATCTCCCTTCTCAGAGATCTGGATGCATTGGAATGGCAACATATAAAAACTAAAGTGAATTCAAATCAAAACATTTCTTAAATAAATGCTATATGGTGGTAGTAGGAGTACAGATTTCTCATTTGAAATTGGAAGTTCTCCTCAAATGAATTAACATTTACTGACCACCAGAAATGAGATTACTACTTTATAGTTACATTTTTAACTACTATGCACATAATTATGTGCCTTAACTTTTAGAAGTTATGCTAACGAAAATGAAAACAGTATTACAAGGAGCTCAGTCTACACTGGATCATTAAAATGATTCATTACAACTAATTAAAGCTTCAAATGAGACACAAATCTTACATTGTTTTCATCTTGTGCTCTGACTTCTTTAAGAACCTTCCTCGTTCTCGGACTTGCCATGATTCTGGAAAAAGGAATGGAGAATGTGTATTTACTTTTTAAAAAAATATAACTCAACTGAAACACTTTGCAGGAAAAAACGGTTAAATCAAATGCATTTCACAACAGCCAACCACAATTTGAGAACTCCTCAATTCCCTGATTCTAAGAAGGACTTGAGTAGAACTGCTACAGACACTAGCCTCCCTAATAATACAAATTTACTGACCTATGGCCTGGGACACTGGAAAGATTATTTCTTAAGTAAACTGAAGTAAAAGAGTTTGTTACCCTAACTCTGTGAAAGACAGCAGCAGTTTGAATAGTCACACTAGAGGAGAATCCTATGTCCCTTGAGTGGAATTTAATTTTTGTAACATTTTGCCATTTTGACTTAAGTATTATGTACATTGGGAATTGTACATTATTTCCAAAACACCACATTCTTTATAATTAAAGTCAAAGTTCTTAAATTGTGATCTTTTTCAGTCATGCCACAAAAATGATATTGAATCAACTCTCCCCCCTCCCCGACCCTAAATGAGTTAACTTTTTAAAATGAAGGGGAAAATTTCAGTCTGTTGCTTCTTACAAATTTAGAAGTTAATATCTCTCCCTTCTCCCCTCAAAGACATTACAAAAATCACAAAACTGTTACATGTAATAAGAAAGTGACAGCCTACTACCACCACTCTACCCTCCCAAAACTCAAAAAATGATGGAACCTTAAAGGCCAACCAGGTCATCCCTATCATTTTATAAATGAGGCTCAGCTAGGGGCCAGCAGGATTAAATGAAATGCTTAAGGTCAAACAGGTGTAAGGGCAAAGTGTCTTTTAACTCAAGTCCTATGACTCTGAGTTCAGTGGTCTTTCCATTGAACCACACTGCCTCTTTCTTAAGTTATAAAAATATACTTTTAAAAAGATAGATATAAATATGCTATAGCATCTTACTAATGACAACTTGCATGTAAGACGTGACCATCAAAGACTATTGTATGAAATGGAGGCCATTCAGCCTCCAAGATCTGTAGACAATGAACAGCCCAGTTACTAAGTCCATATCCACAAAATATAAAAGAATCAGAAGGTCTCAAGTGCATAGGGTAGATACTCTATGAAGTATTTAAAGAAGGATAGCGTCAAGAATTGCACAAGTGTAGAGAGGATACATTGCATAGTGAAAGGAGTATCCACACCGATAAAAAATGTAGATACACTGAAGTATAACATATAACATACATTTACATATACAAATAATACAAAGACAGGCTTGGCATATATCAAGTGTTTGCTATCATAAGAAATGTAACCAGACAGCAGCTTCCCCACTTTCCTCTTTTATATCTTTCTGGCCAAAATAGATGTGGAATTTGTACTGCTGGGGGAGAGGGGAGAGAAGAAGCATTTTTTCGAAGCTATCTACTCATCTTGTCACTGCTGTTACTATAAGAATTTATAGATATATCTCCCATTGGGGCTACCTTTTTTCCCCCTCCCTATGAACTGCAACTATGATAGATAGCATTATGGCAGGAAAGCACTGCAAGGTCAATTGTTGATGCCTAACCACTAGCCCTGCCAACATAATTCATAAAGAAATAGGTAGGAAGCTGTAGCAACATTACTACTGCTGAAAGGAAAAGTTATTTATTTCTCTACAGAAGTGCTGGACTTAAAAGAATGAAACCTCAATTGGTTTTTCCTTTTAATTCAGTACCAAGGAGACCAATTAATGTAAAGTAATACAAAGCTTAAAGAAAAGCGTCTAATTTTTTGTGGAATGGTTTGAAAATTAATAATTCTCTTTCAGCACATGTTCCTTTGGATTATGGTTCAGCAGAACTGGCATGGCACTGGCATGAGTCAGAAAACTTAGGTTTTAGTTATAGCTTTGCCACAACTTAGCTGTGAGACCTTAGGCAAATCAATTAATCTGAGTATCTCTTTACTAATCTGTAAAATGGGTACAACAGCTGGGGAGCCCAACTTGAGAGCTTTTCATAGGCTCAAACTTAACTCTAAATACAGTGCCTTGAGAAAACATTATTCAAATGTAAAGTCTTATTATTCCATAATGTCTATTATGGTTCTACTAATCTTCCTGCAATAATTTTGACTATAACTTTACACTAAACAGCTTAAAAATTGGAGATAATCTTATCTATCCAATTTTACTTCTAAGTCCACCTGTGTTACCAGAAGACTATTTGCTCAGGATAAAACTGAATTTACTGTACCAAAAAAACTTTCCAAATTTGAGTATGTATTAGTTTAACATGTATTAATACCCATCCCTTTATTTTCAGCCAGCAGGTCTGTTTTTTTCCAAGTTCAGATCTGCCCTCCATCAACCCTTCCCCCCCCCCCCCCCCCCAAAAAAAAACTTGCCTTCACTTTTTGTCTCTTCTAGTTCTGGAAAACTCTATTTTTCATCTGTAATGTCAATTCCATGAAGACAAGGATCATTTGTGTCTTTCACTTAATAAAGAGCAATACTACCCAGATCAATTAGCATGAATTATTCAATTAGTGTATCATTTATCTAATGCCTCTATGCAGTGGGCACAGAATGAGGCAGTAAAAATAAGTAAAAGTTACTTACTGTATAGTACTTACTTTACTTAAAGTACAGATAAGCCAAGCAAATCCTGCCTAGTTTGGATAGGAGTACAGAAGAGGAAAATCAAAACCTCAATGAGAGATTTGATCATTTTGAGTTCTATGTAAAAATAATTAGAATATTTCCTTTAAGTAAGGAAACTGAAAAAGGTGACTAAAAGGTGATGCTTTATATGACTTTTTTTCTATGACTAAGCCTCTTTCCTGATTGAACTGTACTAAAACTAAGAACTAGCACTTCTGAGTTTCCAAAGGAAAAAACTACTAGCCATAGACTTCTTATAGTTGGAAGGGACCTTAGACTTCATCTAATATAATCCCTTCATTTTATAGCTGAGAAAACTGAGGCCATGTTATCCTATGTGAACTTGTACAGCTGAGACTAAAATCCCAGTCTCCCAGTCCAAAGTTCTTTTCTATTACAGAGTAAATGTTTAGATTATATGTATATATGTGTATGTGTGTGTGGGGGGAACCCCAGAGAATATAGGATGATAAAAATTTTCAAACAGACAAAATTAATTTAGTTCTTAATCCACATTGGAATATAAATCCATGGTACTTTTACTAAGCAGATTAAACAATTTTGAAAAGTCAAACACCTGCCAAACAGATATATTTGCTGCCCCAGGTTAGTCTGAGTTAATTATACAAACACTGTGTCATTTCTAGGCACCTAGGACATAAACTTCTGATGATGACAGTTACAGAAACTGGGACCAAAATAAACTAAAAGGCTTACTATATCATCTAGTCTACATTCTTAAGGCCAAAGACATGTTAAAATAGAGTTTTAGTATAACCCACAGAGTGGGGATGGGTGGCTGTGCAAAATGGACAGATTATTTTATGCTTCAACCTTGTAAATTAAAGACAAACTTCTCTATTTTTCCACTGTGACCCATTGGAAAAACCTCAATCATGTTGTAAGATCTCTTCAGCCTAGTACTCTACTTCATCACTACCCTTGGCCTCTCAGATTAGAGGGTGGGGCCATAAACTCCAAACCTCCATTTAAGGTTTAGAGCTCAGTTCAGAACATGTCACTAATCACTGGCTGCATTACTCTGGGACTTCTGACTTTTCCACCATGCCCCTGACTAAGGTGTACCTTCCTCCCCTCTCCTCTTTACAGTTTCTTTTTGTGTTTTGTCTTCTCTCATTAGATTGTAAAAGCTCCTTGAAGGTAAGACTTGTTCTTTTTTAGTATTTGTATCCCCAGTGCTTAGCAAAGAGCAGGGCACACAGTACATGTTTAATAAATGTTTACTGATTTTTGAGGGAAAGATGTTTTAGCATGAAAACTAAGTAGCACAAAAAGCAGTATCTGGACAGACTCTACTTGACAGCTTTCTTTTCTGTTTTAACCCTTCACCAAAGAAAATAAAATAAAACCAAAAACAAAACACCACAAATGAAAGTTGGGATTCAGTTCAAGTGTCTAATTAGACATTCCTAAAATTGCTTACGTTAACCTTCTCATAAGGGACAAAGTATATCAATAAAAAGTTGTCTTTGCATTAACGTCAAGCAAAAGAAGTCACTTTTTTGTTCCAATATAATAGAAGACATTGGTCCTTGGTGAATTCAGTGCCCAGAAGAAGGTTCTGACAATCTGAAAGGTATAGGGAGAAAAGAATAGAGGGATGAATAAAAAGAAAGTAGGGAAAGCTAGGTGCTGAAGTGGATAAGTACTGGGCCTTAAGTCAGGAAAACCTGAGTTCAAATTTGTCCTCAAACATTTACTAGCTGTGTGACCCTAAGCAAGTCCTTGTTTGCCTCAGTTTCCTCATCTGTAAAATGAACTGGGGAAGGAAATGGCAAACCACTCCTGCATCTTTGCCAAGAAAACCCCAAATGGGGTCACAAAGAGTCAGACATGACTGAACAACGACAACAACGACAACAACAACAACAACAACAAAGTACCTTTCCGAACACTCGCTGGGAAAGCAACATGCCCAATTTGGCCTAAGTAGAGCTTGGAAGAAAAATCTAAACTAGCTATACTGCTAAAGCCCAGAAGGGGGAAGCAGGAACCCTGAGAAGCTTGAGTGAGTCCTAATAATTATAACAGTTGACATTTATAAAAACAGGTGAGTAGGTAAGTGCTACTCTTCCCTCCCATTTTACAGCTAAAGAAACTGAGGTTCAAAATCGTTAAATGACTTGGCCCAGGTTTACACAGGTAGCAAGTGACTGCTTTGAAATTTTAACATGGGGTCGCATGACTCCAAATTTAACAATCTATCCAGTACAACTAGACTAGGCGGGAGTGTGTATGTGGTGATGTGGGGTAGAGAGTTCAAGGATCGAAGCAGGAAGAAACACGGGTGCAAGGAGGAAACAGGCGGCAGCCTGAACGGGGAATGGGGTGAGGGATGTCCTGGAGAGCAAGGGTGGGGAAGGATCTTTGGGCGAAGGACTTCAGTAAGAAGGCAGGGGTTGGTCTCTCGTGGGGGGAGGGGAAAGGTGGGGGAAGGAAAAGATGCCCCAGACGCAGGGACACGACAAACGGATAGAGGGATGGGGGTTGGGGGTTGGGGGTTGGAGGAGCTCCTGGCCTGGGGAAAACCAGACCGGGCTCCGGGAAGAAATGCTCCTTCCGACCGAGTGAGAAGGCGCTCTAAGGCAGGCCCGGCAGATCCCGAGCCAAGGCCCGCGCTCGGGGACTTACGGCCGGCCCGGGGGAGGGGGTCCAGGGCTGGGGCCCGGGAACGGGCTGCTCAGGGTCGCGGTGAGGTTACCTGGAGGAACCGAAGGCGGCAAGAGGGATCGGCCAGGCTGAGGGCTGGGGCAGAGGGGTCGGAGCCTCCAACGCCGCCGGGGCCCGAGGAGGCGGAGAATCTCTGGAGGAGCCTCGGTGGCCGCGGTCCTCACGGCTACACTGCAGCCGCCATCTTCCGGCTACGTTGCAGTTTGCAAGGCATTGTGGGTAGGCTCTTGACGGGAGGGCGGGATAGAGGGAGGGAAGAGAGGAAGAGGGGGGAGGAGAGGGAGGAGAAGGAGGAAGGGGAGGAGGAAGAAGAGGAGGAGGAGGATTAGGAGGAGGAGGAGAGGGAGAAAGGGGAAGAAGGGGGAAGAGAAGGGGGAGTAGGAAGGGTGGGTGAGTGAGGGCACAGGGCTACTTCCGCGTTTACCCTGTCCGTCCCAGGACGTAATCTTGTCACGCCCCTCTACGCACGCCACGCTGTTGCCATGGAAAAGGGAGGCTTCTCCGTCCCTTTCTCCCTCCTCACCCCTTCCCCCTCCCTCTTTCCTCTCCTTTTCCACCCCCACCCCCTCCTTTACGCTTCCACGTCTCCTTATCCTTACCTGTAAAGGGAACGTGAGGACAAAGGGACATTGGAGGACATCTGAGTCAACCTCACGTCACGGGGTCAAGGGAAGGGCACATGGGGAGAGGCCCCTAGGTGGCGCAGTGGAGAGAGCAGGATCTGGAATCGGGAAAACGTGAAGTGGAATCAACCTCAGAGAGGACCGGCATTGTTGTTCCCATTATACAGATAAGGAATTTGGAGTCCAGAAAGGTTGTCATCTGTTTATTCAAACATCATTTCAATCAATCAGTAAAACAAAGTAACAAACATGTATTAAGTCCTTGCTATGTGCCAAGCGCAAAACTAGGCACTGGGGTTAAAGACAAAAATGAGATAGTCCCTGCCCACAAAATGTTTGCATTTAATCAGTTGAACAACATGTATACATATACGCAAATACAAGCAGTTGGGAAAGGCCTTGTGTTTCAGATGACATGATTTGTGCTTTGAAAGAATAAATGAGGAGGGAAGGCATTCAGTCCTGGAGGGGGTGCAGCTTTTTCAAAGGTGTGAAGAATGATAATTGGATGTTTCATGTGAGAAACGGCAAGGACAGTTTAACTAGACTGCATAGTCTGTGAAGGGTAATAATGTGTAATAAGGCTAGAAAGGCAAGCTGGAGTCAGGTTGTGAAGGGTTGAAAATGCCAAATAGGACTTTGTATTTAATCCTATAGGCAGTACAGAGTCATTGGAGCTTATTGAACAAAGGAGTACCATTATTAGACCTGCATTATAGGAATATGTATGTACATATATACATATATATACATGCACAAACATACACATACATCCCTCCAAACCATATTCCACAAGATATCAAAGGGAAATACAATATGAATTATTGTAATGTATTATGACATCATGTATATAATTGTCTATAATATATAATATGAAATACAAACCTTGCTGGTTCAGGCCCTCATCACCTCTCACCTGGAATATTACAATAGCCTCCTCATTGGTTTTTCTGTTACTCAGCTTCTAATCCGTAATCCACACAGATGTCAAATGTGTGTATATATAATTTATATGTGTATGTTATATAAGACATATACATAATTTATGTGGATTTTATAAATATAAGATTATATATACATATATGTATGTATGTGTGTGTGTGGGTACCAGCATGGTGGCTATGTGAGGAGAGAGAAGGGGACAGATGTGAAAGGTGTTAAGATAGTAGGACTGTTATCTGAATCCATGTTTCCTGACTTCAAGCCCACATTCTTTGCATTGCACCAAGCTGTTTGCTGACTAGCCATGGACAGGGAAGCATTTTTTTTTCCTATAGAAACAGAAGCAGGACCCCACTACCACTGTATGGAGCCCACCAGACCTTCAGGAATGGCTTCACCTGAGTTTGTCCTAGTACTGAGGAGACTTCTGTCTTATCTTTTAGCTTCTATAACCAGAGGTAGAAAAACATGAATAAATGAACTTGTAATTGCTTCATTTTTTCATACATAGCAGTGTGGCATGGTGGAAAGAGTGCTATACCTGGTATCAAGAGAGACTTTATTTAAATCCAGGTTCAGATGTTTACTAATTGTATGATTTTGGGCAAGTCATCTTGCCTATTTGAACCTTAGTTTCCCCATCTGTAAAGTGAGGATAACATACTTACACTACCTACTTTGCAGGGTTGGTGTGAGAATAACACATAGTAATGCTTAAAATACTATATAATTTTGAGTCATAATTATTCATTCTGTTTTCCCCAAAGCCATTTGATTATATGGGTACAGTAAAACCTATGTTCAATTTGATTCAGCAAATAATGAACAGCTATTCAGCCACTGTTTCCAGTCCTATGCTGGAAGGGGTAGGGGAGAAGAAATAAAACAATTATACATTGGTCTTACCTTTAAAAGAGCACACAATTTAGTAGGAGAGATTGAGAAGGTTACAAGCAACTACAATGAAAAGATAAGTTATACAGGTGTTGGCAATATCAGCACCATGGCCAGTAATAGTGGCAAAACAGGAGTTTGCTGTTTCAGTACTTAGGTGGTGAACAGCACAAAGATGCGGATAGGTAAGCAGCTTTACAGTAAATGCTGCAGCAGCATTTTTTTTTTCTCATTGAGGCCTTTGATTTCAGTAGTGTAGGGAATTCCCCGTGAAGCCATTCCTTCTGTCGATGTAGATCTATCATTGTCCTACAATTTATAGTCCTAAGAAGTTGCCTAGGGCACTGTTAATTTAAGTGATCCAGGGAAACATACCTTAGCATATATCAGAAGTGAAACTTGAAGCCCGGTCTCTTCAACTCAAAGACTAAATCCCTATCCAATACGCTGCAGCATTACTGGTGATGTTGAAGAGGAAAGAAAGGTTATTATGAGGCCTGTCCTGTTAATTAGTTTGGCTTTTTTTGTCAGTGTAAATTTTTCTTGGGGTGAAAGATACAGGTGAAGAGAGACTTCTCTCACATGAATGTGCCTTTGTGCTTCTTCATTGGTGCATTAACCCTCAGGGAAGCAGTTAAGGGGGGGGAAGGGGAGGGAGGAAAGATAGGAGAGGGAGGAAGGAGAAAGAGAGAGAGAGAGAGAGAGAGAAATTTAAATTGTATTTCTCTGTCCCTTCTCCAGATGTCTGCTTCTCTCAAGTATTTTCTTCCTATGCAAGGGCCGTGTCTTTGATGCAAAGATCTTTCAGTGATGACCTTGGTTATATTATATATTATATGCATTATATGTTATAAGTATATACATCATACATTATATATTATATACATTTGTTTGCATTTCTATTAGAACATATGTGATAAGAAATTGGTTTTGAGACTCCATTCCCATTGCTCTGAGTATGGTTTGAGAGTTCAGACAAAACAACAGAGAAGGTGCAAAGAGCTATGGAGGGAAATCCTAAAAAAGTACACGAAGCTAGAAAGTTCAATAATATGTGTGTGTGTGTGTGTGTGTGTGTGTGTGTGTTTAACCAGGAGATTCCTGATCTCAACAGTTTATGCACACACTCACATTGCCCACCACCACCTACAATAATAAATTAATGCTCATAGAGTAGAATGGGAAAACATAGCTAGTATTGCTGAAAATTGACAAATTTAATAAAATTAAATTACTAATTTGATAATCTTGGTTAAAAAAAACCTACCTTCAGAAGTACAAGACCAGGGAGGCATGGTTAGATAACACTTTGCCTAAAAAAAGATCTACAGATTTAGAAAAATGAGGCATCTTTTGAAAGACTTAGTGGGCTGCAAGCTCAATATGAGTCAATGGTGTGATGTAGCAGCCAAAAAAGCTAAAACTATCTTGGGATGAATTATGTCAGGCACAAATTACAGGGTTATGGAGGTGCTTTTCAACTCTTGTTTAGACTCCATCTGAAGTGGTAAGATAGAAATTAGCTAGAGTGTCTAGGGAGGAAGGCAACCCATGAAAGGTCTCAGGTTTATACTATATGGAGATTGGTTGAGGGAAGTGGAGACATTTAGCCTGGAGAAATGATCACTTAGTAGGGAAATGAAAACTAGCTTTATTTGAAAAGCTATCACGCTCTTGAGATAGATTACAATTTTTCTGTTTGGCCTCAAAGGGCAGAACAGGGAACCATGAGTGAAAGTTGGAGAAACAAATTTTAACATGATATAATGAAAAACTTCTTAACCATCAGAGTTATCCAAACTCTAATGATGGATAATAATGTTTATTAGGGTTTTTTGAGTTGTTAAAAATGGGAATCTAAGTAGATGCCTATAAATCAAAGAATTATATAATAAATTATGGTTTATAAACATGATAGAATATGATTTGTTGAACTCATATAGTTTTAATGATCAAAAGCAATTCCAGAAGACTGATGATGCAATGAGCTATATACCTCCTAAAGGAGAAAGACTCATAGTACAAAATGAGAAAAATTTTTTTTGGACATGGTCAATGTGGAAAGTTTTGATTTACTATGTTTGTAATAAGGTTAGCTTTTCTTGTGATCTTAATTGATATGTGAGATGGGAGGGTAAGAGGTAGATTTTGGCTGATTGAAACAAATGAGATATATTTCTTAAAATAATCAGTTATCTAAAAGTAGAAAGAACTGCCTCAGAAAGTGATGCATTCACCCTTACTGAAGGTCTGCAAGCAAAAACTTAGATGTCTTTTTGTTTGTTGATTGTTTTTTGGAAGTTTATATTTTTTTCCAATTACATGTAAAAACAGTTCTTAACATTTGTTTTTAAAGTTTTGAGTTTCAAATTCTCTCCCTCCCTCTTTCCCCTCTCCTTGAGAAGGCAAGCAATTTGATATAAATTATCTATATTAGCCCTGTTGTGAGAGAAAAAAAAAAACCAGACAAAAGTCCCAAGGAAAAATAAAGTTTTTTTTAAAGTCTGCTTCGATCTTGTATTCAGATTCTATCAGTTCTTTCTCCAGAGGTGAATAGCATTTTTTCATCATAAGTCTTTCAGAATTGTCTCAGATCATTGTGTTCCTGAGAAAAGCTAAGTCATTCACAGTTGATCATCATACAGTATTGCTGTTAGTATGTACACTGTTCTCCTGGTTCTGCTCATTTTATTTTGCATCCATTCATGTAAGTCTTCCCAGGTTTTTCTGAAAGCATCCCGTTGGAAAAAATGTAATTTCTTCCACTGTACTCCCTGGCAATCTTCATATCATCATGTCTCCCCCCCAATATAGCACTTCTGTACTCACTCTAGAA